AAGCAAAGAGCAAAGTACAAAGAAGGACTTGATCAGTACAAAGTGGGAGGCATTATCTGGTGACAAAATAATTTAAATAAGAAAAATACTTAATAAAAGTACAATAAAGAGGGATAGCACAAATTAGTTAAAGATTGACTATTTCTAAACAATAAGCAGAACAAAGAAATGGGGACATTTTCTTTGTTCTTTTTACAATGCCAAAATCTGTAAGTTGACTTATGACAATTGAGTTTGACATCGCCGATGTTCAAGAATTTCGCTATGAATATTCAAAGTTTAATATATGTATGAAAAGTAAATTTGATATATATACACAATATAATTTTCTATATACTCAGAATAGATTTTCGTTGAAGGATATTCAATTGACCACCCTTCACTCTACGTGGCGATGTCACTGCCCCTATCTCCAAAGACAAGCAACAGGATAACAAAAATGCAATGGTTATCAACACGTTGTGTGCGATTCTATACAAACAAAGCTACTACAAACTCAGATGTCAAAGTCACCAGAAAAAATAAAAACATAAAATAAAAGAGGAAACTGCAAACAAAATGTTTATAGACCTTTTATAATAACATATTTTATGTGTTTCTTTCACAAGACAGAGGTAGGTCTGCATACATACTATCAAATCTTACTTGTGGTATCACACGGATATGTTGTTGTTGTAAATACTTTTAAGTGTTAAAAATAACAACGGTATACATGTTATCAGTTTGGTTTGGATTCAGATCAACTACTTCTTTTACTTTTGGATTAATGCCAAAACAGACCTAGTTGGATAATAAGCCAATTTGACTGCAAGAGATTTCAGGAGATTAAACAAAAAACAGGAACCAAAATAGATACTGACATACATTACTGTCAATTGATAAGGTTTGACTGACTTTTCTTGCCGAATTTATTTGGGTAACCTACGAGCTTGATCTTTTTTGCTTCAGCTTGAATAATGACATTTTCACATTTCTTGCTCAGATATAGTATTCTAGTCATGTTTGCTACGTATTGGTCTGGACGTGCCAATAAGACCATAATTGACAGTAAAAGATTTTCACCAATAGTCATTGCAGGAGCAGAGTTCATCTGTAATATGGTGAAAACGATTAGAATCTCTAACAATTATCTCTCTTCCCTCCGCTACTGATATAAACTTCATTGCATTATGGCAATCTCCACATCTACATAAAACCTGTGGACGCTATTTTCAGATTCTATCTAACTACATCCGGCGGGGACAAGTGGAAGTAGCACTGGTAATTTGGGTTTGCTGGCGGGACTGTAGCTGTGGTGTTGGGGCTCCTAAGGCTGCGCAGAGGGAAGACTGATGGTACCAAAGTGTTATTTAAATGCTACGGGTGTTTTTCCTTTATTTAATACATTTCCAGTAACTATTTACTTAAATTTTATTTTCTCGAGTTTATTCTCCTAGTAAATTCTGTATTATTACTCGAGTATTACTTGATTCTATTTAAAAAATAACACTGATATTAGCAATACATATACTCCATTCGTAACAACGTTGTATCTTTTGACATATTTAACATAGAGAATTCATTTTTGAAAAAGAATTGGAAAAATGATTCATATGCTTACATTTAATCTTTATTTCTTTCTTATTCGGTTTATTTATATATAATTTTATTTCCTAAATAGCTTATAAGTACAATTAGAATCCATAATACTATAGTAAGTCAAAGAAGAAACTTTACTGCTGTGTTGATCCATGACCACGTCTTTCGACTCACATCCATATTTTTTCTTTTTCTCTTCTTTTTTAGTAGGTAATCAACTACTCTTAGATGCCCTGGAGGTATGTGTAAAGACCAAAGTAAAGTATTCAACGGATAAGAAATAATATTAGATTAACTGCAGATTCTTGATAAATTACAACAAAAAAAAAGGATCTTGATACAATAAAGCCAAATTGATGGAGATCTCAAGGATCTTACTTAAAACTCATATGATAGTACAAGTTATTAAATAAAAGAACACACAGCAAGCAAAGCCGATCATTTTGGGAAACATACATAAAACTGTGGCGGAAAGAAAATGAAAATACTCGGAGAGAGGATGAAAAGGAGTTATAAGTCATGGAGATGTGGAAAATAATTGAGGGGAAGGGTTGAATATTAGTAGTAGGTTGGTGGGGGAGATGTTGCTGGTGGTGGAGGTGAAGCATAGGTGACTGACTGCTCGTACTTCACAGGTGGTGGAGGTGAAGTATAGGTGGGAGTTTGCTTGTAGTACGTTGGTGGTGGAGGTGAAACATATGTGACAGATTGCTCGTACTTCACAGGTGGTGGAGGTGAAGCATACGTGGGTGTTTGCTTGTAGTACGTTGGTGGTGGAGGTGAAGCATAGGTGGGTGCTTGCTCGTACTTCACAGGTGGTGGAGGTGAAGCATACGTGGGTGTTTGCTTGTAGTACGTTGGTGGTGGAGGTGAAGCATAGGTGGGTGCTTGCTCGTACTTCACAGGTGGTGGAGGTGAAGCATACGTGGGTGTTTGCTTGTAGTACGTTGGTGGTGGAGGTGAAGCATAGGTGGGTGCTTGCTCGTACTTCACAGGTGGTGGAGGTGAAGCATAGGTGGGTTCTTGCTTGTAGTATGTTGGTGGTGGAGGTGAAGCATAGGTGACAGATTGCTCGTACTTCACAGGTGGTGGAGGTGAAGGGTAGATAGGTGTTTGCTTGTAGTAAGTTGGTGGTGGAGGTGAGTAATATGATGGCGAATGTTCATAGGTTTTTGGTGGAGGTGGTGAATTATAAGTTGTAGGCGACTTGTAGTACTTTGCTGGCGACGGGGACTTGTAGTAGTACTTTGAAGGAGTTGGGGACTTGTAATAATACTTTGTGGGAGCAGGTGACTTGTAATAATGCTTTGAGGGAGCAGGTGACTTGTAATACTTGGTTGCAACCGGTGCCTTGTAGTAGTGTTTTGAAGGAGTTGAGGACTTGTAATAATACTTTGTGGGAGCAGGTGACTTGTAATAATGCTTTGAGGGAACAGGTGACTTGTAATACTTGGTTGCAACTGGTGCCTTGTAGTAGTGTTTTGAAGGAGCTGGTGACTTATAGTAATTCTTTGAAGGAACAGGTGACTTGTAGTAATACTTTGAAGGAGTATGTTTCTTGTAATACTTCTTTGCAACCGATGACTTATAATAGTGTTTTGAAGGAGATGGTGACTTGTAGTAGTGTTTTGATGGAACATGCGACTTGTAATAATGTGTTACAGGAGCGGGTGACTTGTAATATTTCACTACAACGGGTGACTTATAGTATTGCTTTGAAGGAGCAGGCGACTTGTAATATTTTGTTGGCAAGTGCGATTTGTAATATTTTATTGGTGATGGCGACTTGTAATAGTCGTGCTTCGATGGTGCTGGAGATTTATAGTAGTGTGACGGAGAATGTGCAGCAGGTTTCTCAGTTTTCTTGTAGTAAGGAGTGGGTACCTCATACTTGGATGGAGATGGTGATTTGTAGTACTTCTTAGAGTTGTAAGAAGGAGAAGTATAGCCATAAGAGTAATCAGCAACAACAGTGCTGGCTACTAAGCAAATTGCCAAAGCAGCTGTTAGTAAGGGCCATTGGCCCAACTTCCCTAAGCTTGTCATTTTGATTTGCAACAAACTATAGCTGGAAAAGGGAAGGATAGAACTAAAAATTGTCTTGCATATTTGAGTAGAGAGCTCTGGTTTTTATAGGCAATGTGACATACTTTTGGACATTAATGTAACAGCTTCATGGTTACCCACTAAGCAGAGAGCAAAGTACAAAGAAAGACTTGATCAGTACAAAGTGGGAGGCATTATCTGGTGACAAAATAATTTAAATAAGAAATACTCAATAAAAGTATAATAAAGAGGGATAGCACAAATTAGTTAAAGATTTGACTACTTCTAAACAATAAACAGAACAAAGAAATGTCGGCATTTTCTTTGCTCTTTTTACAATGCCAAAATCTGTAAGTTGACTTATGATATATAGTTTAACATTGTCCCCATCTCCAAAGAAAAGCAACAGGCAAACAAAAATGTAATGGTTTTCAGCACATTGTGTGCGCTTCTATACAAACAAAGCCTCTATAAAATCAGATGTCAAAGTCACCAGAAAAAATAAAAATAAAAGCAGGAACCAAAATAGATATCGACATACATTACTGTCAACTGATAAGGTTTGACACTTTGACTGACTTTGCTTGCCGAATTTATTTGGGAAACAACGAGCTTGATCTTTTTTGCTTCGGCTCGTATACTGACATATTCACATTTTTTGCTCGGATATGTTTAATAACAAATGAGACAGTAACTCCTCTCTCTCTCGACTAGATAAAAACCAGACAAAAGAACTAGAGCATAGAGCAATGCCAAACATGTTGCTGAAAAATCGGTCATCAGACGACCTATGGTACATGTAGTACAGGTGTTTTCTTCAGAACTTCTTCAATGGTGCTCCTTATGATCATACTCCAATTCTCTAGTTACTGAAATTTTCAAAACTTTGCTTTTCTCATTACATAATGCCAGCTGGGGTATACAAAATACAACATAAAAATGAATGTGCAAATCATATGGTTTCATTCTGTACTTCTCTACATGATTACAGATACATGTTTTATAGCACTATGCACATCTGTAAGTTGCAACATACTAGAATGATCTTTAGTATTCTAATCATGTTTGCTACGTTGGTTTGGACGTGCCAATAAGACCATAATTGACAGTAAAAGACTTTCACCAATAGTCATTGCAGGAGCAGAGTCCATCTTTAATATGGTGAAAACGATTAGAATCTCTAACAATTATCTCTCTTCCCTCCGCTACTGATATAAACTTCATTGCATTATGGCAATCACCGCATACTCGAAGATTTTTGAATATTCTGATGGGCTTTGACTTGGATGTGCTAATAAGACCAAACGCCAAAGCAATTTTCTCACTGTGCTGGAAAAGATATTGCTCCTTTTGTTCATCCTCCACCTCGTGAAGCACCAAGTCTGTGTTGGGTACATAGCCAATCTCCTTTATTTTAAGTGCTACCTTATCTAATTTTTCATATATCTCCTTCGCTCTGGGATGATTTGTGTCGCCTACATAAAACCTGTGGACACTATTTTCAGCTTCTATCCAACTACATCCAGCTTCCTTCACCAATCTCTTTTCTTTCATGTCTTTTCTGATCTTTGCTACCTCCTCCCATTCACCCCTCGAAGCATACAAGTTAGATAGTAAGACGTGTGCTGCTGGATCACTTGGCTCCTGTTCAAGAATCATTTCTGCAGCGTACTTCCCCAGTTGTAAATTGCCATACACCTGGCATGCCCCAAGCAAGGTGCGCCAAACAAGAGCATCGACATTCAAGGGCAGTGATTTAATAAACTGAACAGCCTTTTCAAGAGAGCCTGATCGGCTTAACAAATCAACCATGCATGCATAATGTTCCATCCTAGGTGTTATCCTGTGATCACTGGACATTGAATCAAAATACTTCCATCCCTCCTCAACTAAACCAACATGGCTACAAGCTGATAAAACAGCAATGTACGTGATCTCATTTGGTTTTATACCAGCCCCAAGCATTTGATTGAACAATTCCAGAGCTCTATATGCAAAACCATGTTTTGCAAAACCTGTTATAATTGAAGTCCAAGATATTACATTTCTATCTTCCATTCTTTCAAAAACTTGAGAAGCAGCCTCTATGTTACCGCATCTAGAATACATAGATATCAAAGCATTGCAGACAGATTGGTTGGAATGGATCCCTGCTTTCAAGACCCGAGCATGGATTTGCTCTCCCTTTCCAACTGCGCCTATACTTGCAGCTCCACTCAACAAACTAGCAAACGTGAAAGCATCAATCCCAACTTCAGAGTCTATCTGGCTGAAAAGTTCAAAAGCTTCTGTGGAATCCAGATTCTTTGAATATCCATCAACTATTATGTTATAAGATACCAAATTCTTCTCAAACAGAAGTTCAAAAGCTTTTCGGGCTTCTTCCATCCTACCAGACTTGGCATACATGCTAATTAGCGAATTCGCTACACAGTTCACAGATGCAAGACCCAATTTCACTGCATGATTATAGATCTGTTCGCCTACAGCAAGATTTGAAAGATTTCCACATGCCTTTAAAAGACTAGAAAATGTAAAATGGTTCGGTTTAACTGGACCTTCTATCATTCTACAGTACAACTTAATGGCCTCCATATCATAGCATCCGCTTTGCACATATCCTGTAATAATAGCAGTCCAAGACATGACATTATGATCAGCCATCTGATCAAAAACCTTTCTTGAATCATTCATAGAGCCATCCATTGTACACTTTGCATACATGTCCACCAAACTGCACCCAACACAAACATCGGAAGACAACCTAGACTTAACCACCCAACCATGCAATTGTCTCCCAAACAAAGACAATCCCAGCTGAGCACAAGCCGATAAAACACCACTAAACGTAAACCTATCAGGAACAAATCCTTCAGAAACCATTTCCAAGAACAGCCCAACAGCATCCCTGTCAGCACCAAGTTGAGAAAATCTAGTAATCATCAAAGTCCACGTGACAAGATTCCTCTCAGGCATTCTATCAAACACTTGCTTAGCTGACCTCAAGTCACAAAACCCTTTGGCAAACAAATCAATCAGTGCACAACCAACACAAATATCAGACTCAAAATACCCAGTTTTAACCACAAACCCAAATATCACCAACCCAATCCACCCAAACACTCCGCTACAACACGCCTGAATCACTGCAGAGAAGCAGAACTGATTCGGGTACTCCCCAAACTCCACCATATCAAAGAAAGTAAGCACAGCTTCTAACTCCATACCACAATGCGCGAAACAAGATATCATAGCACTCCAAGAGACTAAATCTCTCTTCTCCCCCATGTTCTCGAAAATCATTTTAGCAGTTTCCCAATCACCCATTTTAGCATATAAACTTATCAACGAGTTAAGAACAATTGTGTCCGGTTCGAGCGATGAGTTGTTGAGCTTAGAGTGTAGAAGTTCACCGAGCTGGAAATTTCGAGTTCTAATACAAGATTTGAGAAGAACTGTATAGGAGGTGAGGTCAGGGGTAAGACCCATTTGGGAAATGTGATCAAGGGTCGAGATTGCTTGCTTGAGGTTTCCAACATTGGCTTGTCGAATCAAACGATCCTTCAGAGCTTCGAAATTAGGGTTTCTTCTGTGAATTTGAAGGGATGTGAGGTTTTTGGGGGAAGGAGGGATGAGTTTGGCGGGAGAGGGAAGAGAGAGAGTTATCATTATCTATAACGGCTTTCTTCCTTGGATGGTGCTCAAATTTATCCTATTTATATAATACCTCAATTTTAAAAAATAAGATATTTCTTCTTTTTATCTTATTTAACGAAAATGCAAACACTTTTGCATTTATTGCAAGCAGATGGTTGGTTGCCGTCAATTGTCATACAGTTTATTCGAGAGCTTTTTGAATGGCAATATTTGATTGAAACCAAAGATAGTAAGAATTTTGTCACATGTGAGAAGCACCCGTGCCTATGTTGCACGTTAATAATGACACGTGTTATTTAAATATTTATTTATGTGAAGAAATAATAAAATTCAATTAATAGAGAAATTTTATGTATAATAATACAACATCATCTAAATGCCGAAAAATATTATTACATTAACATAATACATGAATTTAAAATAAAAAGACATCATCAAAACTTATACAAATGATCAATTTTGTCACATTAGTTAGATAATTATGTATTATAGTTTAAAGGTATTTAATGTGATGGTATCTTAACAAACACTTCTTTGTGGACAATATTTTTTTGTGTATGTTTCCTTCTAATACTTTGGTTGCTCTGCTTTAACCAAAGCTCTTGTTGTCGATCTTGATATCCCTCTTGAAAGTGCAACATATAGTTGTTCGTGCAATAAAAATATTGCGGTAAATATAGTCCAATATTTAGAATGTTTGTCCTTGTGCTTTATTTGTTATATTTGCAAAACATAAATATACTAAATTATTTTCACACAAATTTAAAAGGATATTCCTTAGTTTCGGAAGACGAAAGTTGAATTCAAGGATAAGAGTATATTTAGAAGCACATTGACCAGTATCATAATTATTGCATGTATGACGTTATTGTCAAAACTTTGATATACCATATGTGTGCTATTACATAAGTGATTCGGCATATCTAAGTTTTTCAATAGCATGAGTGACATATTTTTTCCAAATTTAACCTATACACAGTGGAAGATCAATTTTAACTTAGTCTATCATATATACGGTGACACTAACATACGTAAGAAATAATAAACTTGACAACGAACATATATGGTAGAAGGCCATTTGGTATTAAAGTACTTAAATATTCTTCTTGGTAGTAATTATTGGTATCATTTTCTGCTAAGTCAAAAACTGAAAAATATTTTATTTTTATTATAAAATTTTGCAATCAATCTTTATGTAGTTAATCAACATATTCATTTTTGCTAGCTAAGATATCTTTAATTTCATCATGCGATTTTGATGATAGGATATAATTACATATTTTAGTGGCTTATTACACTCTAATTTACTGCACTTTAACTGAGTTTGAGCTTTAATCGCTAGTGTTTTGCACAAATTGTGTATTTTATGCCTTGTATGAGTGATTCCGAGCTAT